TAAGTTTGAAGGGTTGGGGATAATAACAGGTTTTCTGTGCCTCAGTTTCCATTGTTATTGGTGGGAAAGCCTGGAGCTCTGAATGTGTCTGAGAAATGAAAAGCCAAGTCTTTCAGAGAGACTTCTTCCACGGCACCTCTGGTCTTGTCAGGCCCGAGCCCTCTGAGAAAGGCCTGGGGCCTGGAATTGATCCAGGCAGACTTGCTCCAGTTGAGGCCAGAGATGGCAGGGTCAGCACCCCGGCAGTGAGCATGACTGCCATGGTAACTCTTTTTATGTCTTGCTAGATGCTATGCAATCCACCCTGGTAGGTTATTACTATTGCATTTGAAGAAGACATTTTTTTATGAGCCCATTTTGCAGGACTCTGAGGAAAGTCATTGGGCCAAGGTCATGTAGGGAATAAATGGCAAAAAACTGATTTGAACTTTGCTCTTTGAGGTAGCAAGTTGAGACTCAGATAATTTGCATACCTGCCATTTCAGCTGACTGCTGGAGTTTCTCCATTAAAACCTTTGTATTAATGAGGGTTGGAGCCATAAATGAAAAACCTCAAATAATAGCTGCGTAAATAAGATGGAAATCTATTTCTGGAATGATGCTGCATGGTCAGAGCGCCTCCATAACTCTCGGTGCAGGGTTTCCATCCCGAGGTCACGTCATGGTCCAAGGTGGCTGCTCAGCTCCTGCCTTTCTGTTTGTATTTCAGCCAGCGGGAAGAAAGAAGGAAGAAGGGGATAGGCATCTCCCTTTCTTTTATGGCTGTGTGTGTGTGTGTGTGTGTGTGTGTGTGTGTTTTCTTTGTTGTTGTTAATCCTCACCCTAGGGAGAGGGAGGGAAAGAGCCAGAGAGAGAGAAACATTGACCGATTGCCTCCTGCACATGCGCCCTTGGCCAGAATCAAGCCTGAAACCCTTCAGTCCACAGCCGACACTTTAACCACTGAGCAACCGGCTAGGGTGGCACCTCCCTCTCTTTAAGGACACTTCTTGGAACTTGTTTGCTTCTTTCATGTATGCCTCATTGGTCAGAAATTATTCTAATTACACCTAGCTGCATCTTATTTGCGCAATTATTATTTGAGGTTTTTCATTATGGCTCCAGCCCTCATTAATACAAAGATTTTAATGGAGAAACCCCATTAAAGAGGGAATGTCTTTATTCCAGGTGGCCATGTGTACAGCGAAAGCCAGAGAGTCTTTTTTCCCCCCAATTTTTTATTATGGTAAAATACACATAAAATTTACCATTTTTAATTGTACACTTCAGGGATATTAGGTACATTTACATTGTTTGCAATCGTTACCACCATTCATCTCTAGAACAATTTTCATCTTGCAAAACTGAAACTCTACCCTTAAACACCAACTCCCCATGTGCCCTCTCCCCAGCTCCTGCCTGGCACCACCGTCTACTTGTGTCTCTGATTTTGACTCCTTTAAATACTTCATATAAGTGGAATCATACAGTATTTGTCTTTCTTCGACTAGCTTTTCTCATTTAGCATAATGTCCTCAAGGTTCATCCATGTTGTAGCATGTGTCCGAGTTTCCTTCCTTCATAAGGCTGAATAATACTCCATTGTATATATTTACATTTTGTTTACCCATTCATCCATCGATGGACACTTGGCTGTGAAGAATGCTGCTATGAGCATGGGTGTACAGGAATCTCTTCCAGCCCTTACTCTCAATTTTTTGAGTATATAAAAAATCAGATCCCTTTGTATGGGAGATGTGTTCATCTGCACAATTCCACATGTTATTTTTGATCAGAGGGCTGGATCTGCAGTCTTTTGGGCTAAAAACATTTGACCTCAACATTAACCAGGCCCCTTATCACCCCCATCATATCTCTGACCTTTTGGGTTGATTTATTTGGGAAATAAAGATATTTTAAATTATACATTAAAACAGTGAGCCAGTCTCACTTACACCTGAATCCCCCTGTATCATGTTACAGTTTGCAGAACTCACACCCATGGTCCTGTGGTCCTGTGTTTTCACGGCCCTCCAGGAGGTCACTGGGGCTTGTCACACCCATTTTAGAGTGGAGGGAGCCAGACTTGAGCCTGCACCCTTCATTTATTATTTCGACTATTGACTGAGTGCCCACTCTGTGCCTGATACCAGGACTATAGCATTGAACAAAGCAAACAGAAGCCCCTGCCCTCCTGAGATGGCACCCGAATGGGGGAGACAGAGAGTAGCCAAATAAGTAAATCATATAGTTTGTTAGTGTTAAGTGCTATGAAAACAAACCAAAAAAGTTGGGTGAGAAGGTGTAAAAATTTAAAATAAGGTGGTTAGACCTAGTCGGTTTGACTCAGTGGATAGAGCATCAGCCCACAGATTGAAGGGTTCCATTCCTATCAAGGGCAGGTTGCCGGCTCCACCAGCCCCAGTAGAGGCACATTCAGGAGGCAACCAATGGATGTGTCTCTTTCACATAGATGGCGCTCTCTCTGTGTATCTCTCCCCCTCCCTTCCACTCTCTCTAAATAAATCAATGGAAAAATATCCTCAGGTGAGGATTACAACAACAAAATAAAGGTGGTCAGGGAAGGCCTCATGAGAAGGTGATGTTTGAACAAAGACCTGGAGAAGAAGGGAGCCCTGTGGAAACCTGAAGGAAGGTGTTCCACAGGGAAAGAACAGATAGTGCAAAGGCCCTGAGGTGGGAGTGTATTTCCCTGCTGGATTGTGTGGGTCCTGAGGGTCATGATGAGGACTTTGTCCTTCCTCCTGAGTGGGATGGAGCCACCAGGGGGCTCTGAGCAGGGGAGGGACATGACTTAACACTGGTGTTCACAGTGCCCCTCTGGCTGCGTGGGGGGTACAGACTGTGAAGGCAAGGGTGGAGGTGGAGGAGGGAGGCCAGGGAGGAGACTACGGGGTAGACATGAAGGTGGGGTGGTGTGAAGTGGATGGACTTGGGATCTACTTGAAATTTGAGACAATGGGATTCACTGACAGAAAGTGGTTGTGAGTGAAGGAAGTCAAGGGTGACCAGAAATGAAAGAATGGGGGCCAAGTTCAAGGGTAACATTAGGTCTTGGCTTAGGATGGCCACAGACCCCAAGTAGGTGCCAAGTGGGCAGAAGGATTTCCCTGTTACTTCCACAGGCTATGGGTACACAACACCGCTGACTGATGCGGGCAAGGCCTTTTCCATTGTCTTTGCGCTCCTGGGCGTGCCGGCCACCATGTTGCTGCTGACTGCCTCCGCCCAGCGCCTGTCACTGCTGCTGAGCCATGCACCCTTGTCCTGGCTGAGCATACGCTGGGGCTGGGACTCCCGGCGGTTGGCCCGCTGGCACCTGGTGGTTCTGCTGGGGATCATGGTGACCACCTGCTTCCTGGTGCCCGCCGCAATCTTTGCTCACCTTGAGGAGTCCTGGAGCTTCTTGGATGCCTTCTACTTCTGCTTCATCTCTTTGTCCACCATTGGCCTGGGTGACTATGTGCCCGGTGAAGCCCCCGGCCAGCCCTACCGGGCCCTCTACAAGGTGCTGGTCACAGGTGAGTAGGGTGGCTGGCTCAGGACCCAGGGCACAGCCTTGTCGTGGAGGGTACAAGGGGAACCTGGCCTGTCTTAGGGGGAAGTTGAGGGTCACAGCCCCACCCTGGGCCTGCCAAGGTTCTGAGTTCACCCATGGCCCCTCTGCCATCTTTGCAGCCTACCTCTTCCTGGGTCTGATCGCCATGGTTTTGGTGCTGCAGACTGTCCGGCATGTGTCTGACCTTCATGGCCTCACAGAGCTCATCCTGCTGCCCAGTCCACGCCCTGCCGGCTTCCATGAGGATGAGGATGATCGGGTGGACATTCTGGGTCCCCAGTCAGAACCACACCAGCAACTCACCACCAGCTCCCACACCAACTATGCCTCCATCCCCAGGTAGCTGGGGCAGGCACCTTGAGACTGGACGGACCTAGCCTGCGGCTGAGGGACCATGTGACTGGAACTGACATACTAGACCCTCGTGGGCACATGCCAGTGCTCATGAGAGCACTGTCACCAGCTGTCCATCCTTTGTCGTACTGTCCTGGGCTCCCCAAGCACCTGCATTGCTTTGTTCTCCTGGCTCCTTCCCTCATCTCCCCCACATTCAGTGCTTCTTTGGCTTTCTCACCGTCTCTGTCTTTCCCTCTCAACATCTCTTTTTTTTAAAATATATTTTATTGATTTTTTTACAGAGAAGAAGGGAGAGAGATAGAGAGTTAGAAACATCGATGAGAGAGAAACATCAATCAGCTGCCTCCTGCACACCCCCCACTGGGGATGTGCCTGCAACCAAGGTACATGCCCTTGACCGGAATTGAACCTGGGCCGACGCTCTATCCACTGAGCCAAACCGGTTCCGGTCAACGTCT